AATTTTCACCGTCCAAGCTTTCTGACTGAGTGGCGTTTCCTGGTGTTAACTCCAACGAAACGTGAGTGTTTTTCTTGCAAAATAACACACTTTTCTCCAATAAAATGATCATGAAAAATGAAGATGTAAGAAAGTACCAAGTCTGATGCTCCTCTTCTACAAAACTACTCGATAAAAGGCTAAATGTGTGCAGTACAACTCCTGTTATAAGAAAGAAGTGTCTTCTGCTTTGAAAAAGAGAAGAAAACCAAGATAAAGTCCACGATAAGGATGATTTAAGGTTTGGAATGCGAAGCAAAATGAATGCGAGGGAGACTCCTGCCTGCAGCGCTACAGTTGAACTGTAAAGAAAGGATTCGAAGCTGTTCGCAGCACACATGACGTCACTTCCCCCTGAAAAATTAAGAAGAAGTGAAAAAGAAGTAGTTTTTTTCATTTGAGCGACTATTTATCGTGAGGAATAGTTTGGCACGCAAACTGTCGTTTTGTTGTAGGTTCACGCAATTGTCCAGTAGCCTGCAACGAGCAGCCTCCCTTTTTCCTCATATCATTAAAGTGAGGGGACAGCACGAGACGCGAGAAACCAGGGCGGCAGCTCCCGCCTTGCGCCTTGAGTCACGCGCGCGGTCTTTTTCGTCTCTCGCGCGTTTCGCTCGACGGGTCACGGATTAAGGAAAAAAGAGACTGCACGCAGTTAAATTGTCCAGCGCTGACCACAGGATATTTTATTTTTGTCTTTCCTTCTTAGTTCTAGTCTACACTTCTAAAATTGTAGAAGTTTGGAACAGTCTGTGAAAGCAAGGATTAAGTAGATCTTTTCCCGGCCTGGCACGAAACAGCGGTCATTCGATACTTAGTTCTCACACTTAATAGGTACGAAGGGGTGGAAGTGTCTGACCAAGTGAGGATAATGTCGCCTATTTCTCCCCACGAACCGTTTGTCATTTATTACTGAGTTCCACACTCAGAGATGTGAAAGCGTAGTTAGTAGAGGGGTCCTCTTTACTAACTATGGTGGAAGTGTAAAGTAGTCAGACAAAGTGAAGAAAATGTCACAGTTAGTGCCAAAGCACGCCCAAATCACTGTCGACTTCTAATCAGCGCCTTGTGATCAAAACTATTTTTTGTTTGCAACCTGGAAAAAAAACGGCTTAAAGCTAGGGAATCTCGGAAAAGAAAGTTTCAACTGCTTTTTTCACTTACCAATCACTGTGCTGGAACAAGCTATGAGGTGAAGAACGGCAACAAGAAGAACAGCGCCGCTCACAACAAAGACACTTGTCACAGAGACATCAAGGCTTTCATCTGTTTTGTTTGGAAAAGAAATTCGACGCAAACCACAGGCCACCCAGTAAAGCGTTTGAATAAGAACAGCTATACCACAAATCATTGCATGAAGGTCGTATTTTGAAAGCGAGGCGGTCATGCGACTGGTCATTTTCTCAAGAGCCAGGATGTACTGCTTAGCAACCTTTCCCGCCGTTGTCTTGAGATTTGTGGAACTGTGTCCAGATTCTGTGGATTTGAGCCAATCAGAGTGAAGCTTGTGGGCGTGATGTAGTTCGTACATGTTCTCTACAGAGTGGCCATTTGCGGTAAGTGTTTTAGACAGCTGGTGTGTGTTAAGCTGTAGAGCCCTTAGCATTTCTCTTGGTGTATGAAAACCAAAGAGGCTTGGTATAGCAACTCCAATGCTGAAAAGAAAACAAAGGAGAAATCAGATAGAATTTACCAAAACTTCAAAAACAGACTAGAATAGAGCTTTTAACGCTGAAGCATTGAGTAACCTCTCTGTGGTCAGTTTTGTCCTAGGTGTTGAGCCTGTCTGTTAACTTCTTACAAATGATAAGGCAAATAAATAGGATTGATCATGCTCCTTGTCAGTTGAAGTGTTGAGATATCCTTACACTCTGGCTAAAAAAATAGAGTTGAATTTACTTTCAACACTCCAGGTCCCATGACCTATTAGAAGCTTTAAATAGTTAAATTATGAAGGCCGTTTCATCTTTTACCTGTTTTGAGGTATTGGAAGCCCCAAAAGTACACTCAAAGTCGGCACCAGATCAATTTGTTGAACTTCTTTCCTGTTAAATACTTCACCTCCAAGCTGTTCAAACAAAGGGCTCATAAATACAAGGGGCGTGCTTGTCTCTGAGGATGATGCACCACCATGGCTCCCTGCATCACTCATTCCATGATCACCACAGAGTACCATCAGAGAAGGTGCCTCTCTTTTTTGATCCCATCTGAGCATTGCGTTATAAATGTTGTTTATAATATGGTCCATTTCCAGGAGTTTGGGTCCTACAAGGGGACATGATGGTCCCGCAATGTGTCCTATATGGTCAAGGCCCAAGTAGTGAAGTATCATAATGTCCCAATCAGCACTTTTAAGCTCACTGTCAATGTGCCTGGTGACATTGTCATCAACCTGTTAACAATAGTTATTAATATAAAAGTAAAATTGCCATGAATGGATTAGGACAAGTCATCCATCATAAATTAATTTGCAATTCAATGTTTTCCTTCAATTCTTGGTTTGCAACCACGTGACAAGGCGGCCATGTTGGGGGTCAATACAATAGAAATTTTGCTAGAAAAATTTACATGAAAATAGAGTTTAGTTCCCAGAGGAGATAAATGCTTTTGTTCTTGACCACCAAGATGGTCGCCGTGACGTCACGCACAAACAAGCAATTAATAATTATTTTGTGTACTGACTCCTGATTATTTTCCATAAAATACTCCATGTAACTTTGAGATTATTTTGCTTGAACAAGCCAAATTTGAAGGCAATATTGTAAAGGTAGTATTTTGGGGTGCCTCAATTTAAGCAGGGATTGTTTTGGTATTCAAAACAATCTGTAGATTGCTGTAGTACCACACACGTATGCCAGTCATGTAGTTCTGCTTGTTTGCAGTTGTTTGAATATTATTTTAATGCCTTCCAGTTATATGACCCTGGGAGTATAGGCTTGGGATTTTGGGGGGATTAATGCTTGGTCCAGGGAATTCTTCAGGTTTCATTGGATAAAGTAGCGATTTTTCTTGGAGTTTTAGTTTTTGCCCTCTGTCAATCATCCCTGTCACATTAACTCTGGAGTACCCCCTTGGGACTGCTACTGCTATCTCCACACCTCAGTGTAATCAGTGACAAAAAATGATGTTGTGCCATCTGTCCTTTCAAAGTGCTCAGGAAACAGCCTCATCCACGTGTCATCACCGTAAAAAACAATCTTCTTGTTTGCAAACTTCATCTGACTTATCAAATTGTCTTCTTGGAGAAATTCCGAGTCTATGTTGAAAACCACATCAATAAAACCTGGTATCCCACCTGTGGTCAGTGCCTACAGGGGAAGAAGAATTTCAAATTTTATGCATGTATAGATTAAAATAATATTAATTTCCTAATGCCAATACCAACAAATCCTTTTACTCAGAAGTGCACACTATTTTATTATCATAAGTAAACGACACCATAGACAAAAGACATTTCACCCAAAGTTTATTATGTTGGCAGAATTCCTGGTTAGTTGGGCCAGACCTGTACCTTGCTTCAGTGAGCGATCTCATATAACTGTGGAATAAGGGACTTAAAGCTTAAGTGACTGACCACAGCAGGATATCACAAACATCTCTATTTTGTTGGCTAAACTGACCTTTATTCTTGGCATAGTTACTGTTGGTGGATGTGCCTTTGCTAGAAAGCTGGAAAAAATAAAATTGAGATGTCATTATACTTCTCCATGTGTTTATTAAATTCCCGAGCTGAAGGATACTTTTTCACTGTCTTTTTTTTCAGTAGGCCCTTCCATGTGCTTTTTCAACTTTTGACAATATTGTCACCATATTACCCTCAATATTGCTGCAAAGAGCACATTAATTTCAGTTAACTTAACATGTACCAGGTTTGAAACTGGTTTGTCAGAAAAAGCAAAGATATGGCTCCGCAAATTAGTGATGTAATATAGACATCGGTATAGTGAGGGCAGGTGTAGGGGTCTATTTCTATAATGCACCAATCAGTAGCCATCCTGGCAGGGTGACATACACAACCTAGGGACATACACAACCAACCCTTCGGATTTGGTGAGTTTTGTTGGCGATTTTTTCTCCAGGATGGGGGCTGCACTATTCAAAAGGATCCCTGGCCAAAGAGCCGAGGGATTTTTATCACCGACTGAACCGCCAACAATTTGAAATTGTACTAGTGCTTTCTTTGCGAAGACCAGGAACCCTCCTCCTCAACTCTGGAGGGGTACTGATTAGTGCATAAATTATGTACAGTGGTGATTTCCCACATAATTTTAGTAGCTATTTGGGCATTTCAAATTTCTGACTACATGGATTCCCTTTAAACCTGACCCCCCCCACCCTACTGTATACAAAGGTTGTCTCTGTGGCCTTTAAAAAATCAATACAGTAATAATTTAGTGTCACGCAACAAAGTACATTGGTGGGATACCGTTGGATACCGTTACTTTACCTAAATGACTTGTTAGTTCTGATTATTTCTTGAGTAAAAGGCATCCTTGACTGATTGTTAAATACGAAGTCTGCTCTTAGGGCATCGATCAACACGATCACCACTCTTCCGAATTTTGGAGATAAAGGATCTCCTGGATTCTCAGCTGATGGCTCCGGTGGAAAGTCCGTGATGGCTGCCATTCCTTGGATTGCTTTTTTCAGAGGAAAGAAACCTCTCAGAAACAGTACGAGACCCAATATTTGACAAAAAAGAAGAAGAATTAAGAAAAGGCTATGACCGGAAGCCATCTTGTTCTCAAGCTAAAGTGCTGCTGTCCCCGAAACTTTGACGAATTTAACCACAAAGTCTCCCATTAGCAAGAATTATAACTGCGTATTACTCTGAGTTTCAAAACTTAACATTTCCTCCTGATCGCCTTGGGATAATGAACTTCTAAAGCAGAGTAAGGAATTTATTCATTGCTTTTGTTCGCCATTTTAGAAAGTTTCGCCTCCGCAATACTTGAGACCTGCGGTAGAAGCATAGAGAGGTTGGGGTGTCATGTATGAAAGCGGAACATATACCGTGATAAACAACATGGCGGACAGAATGGAGGATTTAAAACTCACTGTAAACCAGGATTTTGCAAAAAAGCTTCAGAAACAGAAGGAAAAAGCTGAACTTGATAATTGTAAGTAGGAAAAAAACTTCTTCGGCGTTCAACAAGTTCAAAATTCGAGGCTAGTGAGTAGTGAGCACTGCATGCTGGCTGCCAAAATTGAGATCCCTATCACGTGGTTCGGTTGTCTGTTATTTGCAGTGAAACAGAAGTTTGGAGACAAATATCTTGATGAGGAATCTGAATCAAGCTCTTCCGAATCAGAGGATGACGATGCGAGAGTGAGTGAATATATTAATTTTGGAAATTGATTTTAATAAGCTGATAACAGCATTTTGCTGACACCTTACACATGTGCCTTTAAGCTTATTTATGTTGTGGTTCAATTTTATCCTAAACTGCAACTAGTCTCTTATTTTTCTTTTGAGTCACAGTAGATCAAGAGCGTGCACAGGGGGAGGGTGGCTTCGCCGTGAGGAACGAGGACGGAAGCCCAAGCAAAGACAAAATAAGAGACTGTGAAGGGATATTTGATCTGGCAATTTGCTGCTTTTCATGCCTCCTTAATTGACAGTTGCTTTTTCTGAAAATTTGCACCATTTCGCATGCTTTTTCCTGTAAACAAACAGCTGATCTATTCGCTGCTGTTTGGTTAGGAGCATTAGTTCAGAAAACAAGAAAACCTCCACGGTCTTCCTTTTTCCACTCTCCGCCCTAATCTCTCCTCCTTTTTACCATTTCACTTTTGAGTTTGCCGCTTGTTGCTGTGAGGAAAGAAAGATGACCGCTCATGTTCTAATTTTATCCTTGGTTTAATTTTTTCCCTTTGTTTCAAACTCATTATCCTACGTTACCATACCCTAAAACAAAGGGAAATAAAATTTAAACTAAAGATAAAATTAAACCAGAACATATAATTTTATATATGTTGCGGTTCAACTTTAACGTTGGTCCAAATTTTATCCTCCTTTGTTTAAATTTATTTCCATCTGTGTCGCCACTTTCAGATTGCCCATAATAAATGTTGTTTGCCCCTCCCCCACTCTCTCCCTACCTCCAATTTTGGATAACCATTGGTTCGAACTTCTCCTGGGCATTTTATTCATCCCAAACAAAAAAGGTTTATGTATGGGCGAGGCAAATGAAGTGGCAAACTATAACAGTTGAAACAGAGGAAAATGCAAATTGAAATCAAGGATAAAATTGAACTCCAACATACAGGCATGTGCATATATAATTATGATACAGTTGAAGCTGTTGATCTCTGATAGATGCTGTTGTTGATGGCTGCCTTTAACGCTGTTTGAATTCTCCTCTTACTAAAACCATTCATGAAGTAGCTACACCTGTAGCTCCAGTTGTTGACACTGTCTTTATGTCCTTTTTAAGGGGCATCCTTTAAAGAAAAGCCTGAGCTTTATTTATGAACACTTTCTATTACTGATTTTTTCCAGGAGCTTACATCTCAGAAGGAAAAGGATTTTCTTACTGTGCTCTCTCTGATAAAAAATAGAGATCCCAAGATTTATGAGAAGGATTCCAATTTTTACCATGAAGAAGGTATGACAACAGATCATTACATGGTGTTTCTGCTCATGAACGGGCATGGTTAGATATTGATCCTTCATTTCCTATTAAAGTGAAGGTACATGTAGTCAAGCATTTTAATTTATAAATAGTAAAGTTCTCCATGCAAAGTTGACAATTAATTTTGATACAACTGTACATAATAGGGCCATGTATACGAGGAAAAATATGACGTGTCTTACATAAGATGCGTCTTAACCCATTCGCCCCTGAACCGCCTGTAACCGCCCGTGCGGATCCAGGTCCTTTCTACCCATTGTGACATCATCAGTTTTAACGGTCAAGCACAACTTTCTTCGCTAACTTGTGCAGAGTGAAGAGATCTTTCAAACCATACCAGAATGAGCACAATTTAGTCAAGGACACCGGAGAAACAAGCAAAAAACAACGCGACATTGACCTGAAAATCTCCATGAAAATCTTTTTCCGTTACCCACCTACCTTTCCTTTCACCTAATCCTAAGATCCTAAAAGTTTTCCTAAAAACTCTTCTCATCAAAATGAAGCCTACTAAATGCCCAGCAAGAGAAAAAAAAAAATGAGGCAAGAAAAGCAAAAAAAGAAGGGAGGAGAGAAAGCGAAAAGTAAAAGTCAAGACTGCTGTGTCACTTTTAAACCCAAAAACTATCTCGAAATTTTGCTTTCTGCGCATGCCTGAACTTCGCAAGCTGATATTTTGCATCTGGATCAGAAGGCCACGAAGTGTTCGACCTGTAAACCAGTTTGTGGTAAGTTTTAGCTCTTTATAGCACGACAGTGACCGGAAAACCACTCGACTAGCTTCAAAACGCGTTTTTCGGCAAAATCTCCAGGAGCGAATGGGTTAAATAGGAGGCGAACTGTACCATTTATACGAGCATGTCTTATCTAATAAGACACGTCTTAGCTAAGCCACGTCTTATTTTAGACGAAATGTGCCGTTTATACGGGAAGTTCGCGTCTTATTTAAGACTCGTCTTATGTAAGACGCGTCTTATTTT